AGAAAACAAACATAGTAATGGATATCAAATTCTATATAAAGGTATATAAGTTGTCAACCAAATACCACCCTTAGTCAATTAATTAGCTTGTCAAGAATGTTCGCATAATTAAATAATCATGATTTTCTAAACATTTTTAACAACCATGACAAAGCTATTTTTACAAGAAGAAATAGGCTTTGTTTGGTAAATGACGGATCCATCAAAAATTTGATAGATCCGCTATTTTGACGTTTTGACCAAGGTCAAACTACCAAAAAAATATTTGATTACTCAACGATTTGGAGTAGCGATTTGCTCCAAACCGCTAAAAAATAAAACGCTGCATTTTATAGCGTTTCATGTTGGCGTTTCGGGGAAAGATTAACCTTTCCCCAAAACGCCCCCATGATATTAGAAAAAGAAAATGTTACGCTATTAAGGCTCATTAAATGAAGGAGCCTTTTTTGCTCTTTAATGCTTGCGGCAGTTAATTTTGGACAAGGAGCATTGCTCCATCCCACATGAGTTACGACCCCTTTGTTTTATTTATTTATTTTATATATAATTTTGTTTTGTATTATTATTATTATTATTATTATTATTATTATATTATTATTATTATTATTATTATTATTATTATTATTATTATTATTGTTGTTGTTGTTGTTGTTTTTTAAAGGATTTCTTATTATTATTATTATTATTATTATTATTATTATTATTATTATTATTATTATTATTATGTAAAACTTATAATAATAATTATAATAATAATAATAATAATAATAATAATAATAATAATAATAATAATTGATCCACATCGGTTACAACCTCATATAGGTCTTTTTAAATGTTAACCGATAATAGTAAACAACTAATTTTATCAAACATCTCGTTACAAAATCGCTAATGAAATTCACCGGTCAAACCCGCTATTCGCTATCCACTAACCGTTAACCGCTAATCGCTACTTACCAAACAAATCCATAAACTCATCACTTGAATTTCTACCTTCTAGTAGAAAGGGTTTTGGCTAGAAACTCAACTTCCTAATGAAAATGTTAAATATTTTTAGTATTCTTTGTTTATTCTTTTGGTTGATTGAAAAAAAGTCAATTGATAATTGGAAAATTTTTAATATCGAAAATCATGTAGGTCTCTACAAAATATTATGAAAAAATCAACTAATTCGTACATGAGTCATGCGAGATTTGCCACCGATTAGATAAAATAGATGTTTTATATCATCTGGGTAGTAAATCAAATAACCCCAAAAAAAAAAAAAAAATCAATATCTCGTCAGTCAATTTTGTTGCACATTGTTTTTTAATTTAGTGTAATTTATATGTGATTTGTAAAGTATTACACAATACACATAGATGAAATCTATCTTAGGCAATCAAATAGTAGTTATAGATTTCTCTCATTATAAAAAAATAAATAAATAAATAAAAAAAAAAAAAATAATAATAATAATAAAACCAAAAAGTGATAATAAAATTAAATAATCAAAGCCATCCGCCATAAAGTTTGGTTGTCCATAAACATACGATTGTTGGAGTTGGTATAATATAATGATTAATGTAAAGCATTGACATTACTTTTGTTTATCTATTCATTTTATACATAAGAAACAAATTAAATGTTTTTACTTTTTTTGAAAGCAATAAAAAACGAAGGTAGATTACTGCAAAAGAGTTGAAACAAAGTCAAGAAGGATAAAGTTCTCGTACAACGAATTAGCCTGAAGATAGACCTTAGAAGGTAAAGTGTGAGCTATTAAATGTTTATACTTAGACTCTGTTTGGCAGAGCTTATTTAGGAGCTTATAACTTATTTTAAGCTACTAATAAGCGTATAGCTCTGTTTGGTAATGTTCCCAAAATAAGCTCCTAGCTTAAAATAAGAGCTTATTTTGGAACGCTACTTTAGGTAACGTTTCAAAATAAGCTCCTAACTTCTTAACTTTTTTTTTTCCATCTTTATCCTTATTATTTTAAAGAAATGACATAATTTACCCTTCCCAATTAAAACATTTTATCTTATCCTTTGTTCGCAACTTTCACCGCAATAATAATAATAATAATAATAATAATAATAATAATAATAATAATAATAATAATAATAATTATTATTATTATTATTATTATTATTATTATTATTATTATTATTATTATTATTATTATTATTATTATTATTATTATTATTATTATGAGATTTGCAACAATATTGCTACTTCATTATTGTGAGCATCTAGCCATTAATGTGCAATCCAACTATCAGCTTAAGCTTTTAGTTGAGATGGAGCACATGCTTCAATTTGGTATCAAAGCCAGAATAAGCGACTACGATTTACCGGTCCACGCTAGACCATCTAGCTATTAATAAGCGACTACGATTTACCAGTCCACGTGTTGTTTGGAACCCATCGCACACGTGAAGGGAAGCGACTACGATTTACCGATCCACGTGTTGCTTGGAACCCCGCTTAAGCTTTTAGTTGAGATGGAGCACATGCTTCAATTATTATGAGATGCTATATCATGATTATGCTAATAGTTTTATTTCAAAATGTTGATTTTGTTTTAAAGACAAAATGTTAAATTTTAATATGTAAACAAACTAATTTAAATTTTATGAAGATGTCCTTTTTAGTCTTTTTACATTTATCAGCTTATCAAAAAGCTAATTTTACCAAACACTTTCAATTATAACAGCTAGCTTAACAGCTCTCCAGTTTTCAGCTCCGAGCTTATAGCGTTTCAGCTTTCAGCTCCTAGCTTATAGCTTTTCAGCTAGGTTTGCCAAACAGAGCCTTATTATATATACTCCTTTTGTTTTTAAATTATATTTGACAATCATATGCACCCACACATGCACTAAGCACAGGGGCAGAGCTACAGTGGGGGCACCTGCCTCCCTCCCCCACCCATATATATATATATATATATATATATATATATATATATATATATATATATATATATATATATATATATATATATATATATATATATATATATATATATATATGAAAGGGTTCAGGTGCGGGTATAGGCTTCTCGTACGGTTGTGCGGTTGACTTAAACATTAAAATGACGCACATTAAATACGCAAATCATGCACCTTAAGCACACAAACAAAACACCTTAAGAACAAAAATCACGTACCTTAAGTACACAACAAAGCACCTTAAGAACACAAACCACCCACCTAAGGTTTTAAAATGGCTCACCTTAAGTTTCACACAGCTGACGCACCTTAAGCATACAAATCACGCACCTTAAGAAGGAAAAGAACGCACCTTAAAAAGGAAAATCACGCACCTTAAATTTCAACTACTCACATTAAGCACAAAACTCACGCACCTTAAGCACAAAAATCACACACCTTAAGAAGGAATATCACGCACCTTAAGTTTCAACAACTACTCACATTAAGCACACAACCCACGCACCTTAAGCACAAACCCCACACATCTTAAGCACAAAAATCACGCACCTTAAGAATGAAAACCACGCACCCTAAATTTGACCTAGATGCAAAAATTATCAAATTGCCATATCATTTTTTTTTTAAAAAAAAAAATTGGTAATCCTAGACATTGATTTAAGAAAAATCAATGGCTCAAATTTAACCGCACAACCACACATGGGCGCACCGATCGCATTTGAACCTAATTATATATAGAGTCAATAGTATTAAAAAAAATATATCAGTTTGTGTTAGACAATACTTTGTCTTCTGCAACTTAAATTTTAATAAATGAATATTTATCCCCTTAAATTTATTTTCTAGCTTAAATTGATTTTTTTTTCTTTTAATACAAATAAAATTAATATATAAAAAATATTATTAATTAAAAGGCTCTAATCTAAAAACATAATAAGCTTCAATGCAAGTTATGTCCCTGATTTTATGTCCGTTTTTTCTGTTAACTTTTTTTGTACCTTATGCTATAAATGTTGTACTACATAATTATTTGAACAAAAACATCCCTGACGTTATAACTTCTGTTATCTTTCACATTATTATTACCATGCACATGCATACACAATATCTTTTTCTTATATTCTTCAATTGGTAAGGTTGATTTTATTTAAATTTAATTAAATGTTACCATAGTTATATTTAGTAATATATTATTTCTATAATTCTTACTTCATTAATATTAATATGAATTCTACAATTATATATATATAACTAAGATTTTAATATTAAATATTAATATTGAGCATATATTTTTGCGCATCGCGCATATGAAATACTAGTTGATATTGATATATTTAAAATGACACCCATATTAATATTTTCTTTTTAATTTTTTTAATTAACCTACAATTAAAATAAGTCATAAATGTATGATTCCCAATGCATTGATCTAGTAAATAAAAAACATCATTTAAAGACTTATTTCCAGCGACAGAACTAATACACTACAATGCATAGTTACCATGAGTAGTATTTATAGTTTTATACTCCGTGCTAGTTATTCATAAATAGTATTGGAGTGATGATGTTGTGATTATTTATAGTTTTTTTTTTTTTTTTTTGGGATCCACGGGAAGGGGAACATCCTAATATGTACGACAATCATTGTCTTCATGCACTCTTCTGGCTACGAAAATCCCAAAAACATCTACAATCGGTCTTTGTCGCACTATTCCCATCTTGCGGGGGACTTCATCCAAATTATACAGTTGTATAGATCACGATTCAAAACCACGTCATTTTGATATTAAAAAAATAAAATTCATTGTTTCACGCGTGTATTGGAATAATGAATATTTTTGGATAAAATATTATATTTTATGAGTTAGAATAATGTACTTTGTTCCACGCGTGTGTTGGAATAATGAATATTTTGGGATAAAATATTGTATTTTATAAGTTAAAATAATGTACTTTATGTGTTAAAATGACGTACTATATGTGTTAGAGTAATGTACGTACTTTATATGTGTTAGAATCTAATAATGAATTTTTTGGGTAACAAAATGTATTCTATGAGTTAGAATAATGTATTTTACGTATTAGAATAATGTATTTTATGAGTTAGAATAATTTAGAATGTACTTTATATGTTAGAATAATGGAATTTTTGGGGTAAGATAATGTATTTTATGAATTAGCTTGAATAATATACTTTATGTGTTAGATTAATATATTTTATATGTAAGAATAATGTACTTTATGTATTTTTGGACCATTGTCTACACAAGCAATAGTTATTGCGTGGACTGTGGTCCACACAACTGTGTGGACTTGTGTGGACCACAATCCAAAAAAGACGTCGTTTTGCTTAATTTTATGTTTTCGCGCGTCCAGCTGCAACATACAGTTTTATAACTCATAATGTACATTATTCTAAAATATAATGTACATTATTCTAAAGCATTTTATACATTATTTTAAAACATAATGTACATTATATTACCCAAATGTTTTATTATTCTAACACGTAATGTACATTATTTTAACACATAATGTACATTATTCTAACACGTAATGTACATTCTTCTAAAGCATAATATACATTATTCTTACACATAATGTACATTATTTTTACTCATAATATTCACGATGATGTTTTGGATAGCGTGGACCACGATCCACACAGCTGTATGGACCACGTTTCATACAAAAAATTTGTCCACACACTTGTGTAGATCACAGTCCATGGAATAATGATTGTTATCCATTGTATACCATGCATTGTTACACAATTGAACTCGAGGCTTGGACTATAACCTTGTTTTGATCCATGTATACATGAGTAACATGGGGCACCCATTATTGTCTCGCTAGTTCTTGTCTTCAAGCCTCAATCAAAGTTGGCAAGACGCCTCTAAGACTATCTCCATACTTCTAATTTATAGTGATGGATATATTGGACCCGGAGCGAACCGACCCGGGGAGACGAACCTGAGAAGTCCCCCGGCCCAGTCAAGTGGGCCGTGGCCGAGTCGGCCCAAGGCATCTCGGCCTTGGGCCGAGTCCAGCCACGGGTGGGCTCGGTACACCCAAGCCCACCACCATGGACTCGGCCACTGACGGGCCGGTCCATGGTGGACTCGGCTAGGCCGAGCTCGGCAGCTCGGCCGTGCCGAGTCGGCCCGCCTTGGACCCGGTCCCGGGGGGACCCGGTCAAAGCGGGCCGATCCAACTAACCCCGATCCTAGGGGTGCGGTTGGGGAGTTTTGAGCTGATATAAAAGGACTCCCTCTTGTCCTAACAAGGGGACTGATCACTACCTGATTATTACACAACAGATTCCTAAATTGCTATCTTCTAGCATTATTGTCCTATTAAGTCTTGTAATAGCTTATTAGCGGCAATCAATACAAATATACGGTCCCCAGCGACCTACGGTCCCCGCGACCTTATTATATCTCTGTGTCACATTATTTATTCCGTACGTATACTTATCTGGGTTTAATAGTTCGGGATACCCCCGGGGAATTAAATCCATCATTGGTGCTCTTGTTGAGAGCTGCTGTACAAGCTTAAGCACTCTCCTTATTATCATTCAGCCATAGCGATGGCAAGATCGAGATCCAACTCTCGCAACACAAATAATTCTAGTGACACCCGAGTCACCCCGACCGGGAACGGCCTCAATGGAACCCAGCCCTGCGCCGATGCTGATATTGAGGTCATCTCTCGTAGACTCAAATTCGCTTTAATCAGAAAATTTTCTCAAGACAAGTCATCCATGGCAATTTCACACAAAACCGTGGATGGTAATGGTTTTGGACGGGCATTATATTTGCATCAGGCATGCTTAATCACAAGCATGTGTTGTCAAATTTTGATCATGAGGATATTTTAATTTTTAGACTAGAAGGTTGCTATCATAATAGGCGCAACCAGCGACATTGGAGCAACCACAGCGAGGCTCTTTGCTCAACATGGGTGTAAGGTTATCATTGCTAACACTGACGACCGGAATGACCACTCCGTCTCTGAAGAGATTGGCCTGAAATATGCACTATTCATCCACTACGACGTCAGAATCGAATCCTACGTCCAGCATGCGGTGGGCACCACTGTCTATATGGAGAGTTAGATATCATGTGCAGCAATGCAGGCACCGCAGAGAGCTGCGACACCAGCATCTTGGAAGCTTCAAGCATGAAGTGAGGAAAATATCTTCTTACTCCACTGGTAAAGGATTTCTCTGAAACTCTCTTCTTCTTCTTCGGCTTTAGCGGGGACAGAGGCTTCTGCGGATTCGGCTTTAGCTTCTGGATACAGATTTGACTTCCTTCCCTTCTTCCGCTTGGACCAAGCCTTGAGGCTAAAAGACTCTCGGAAACTGATCTAGCTCCTGAAATATAGAACATTCTTGATCCTTCCTTTTTTTTCTCGGAATTGATCTCAATCTTTTAAGAATTTTCGTTGGTCTTTGTTTATGCCATCCCAGAAAAAATCGAGCTAGTTTTGGAGACGAATGTGACGAAATATAGATGAGCATTCATTCAGCTTATTCCTCTGATCTTTGTGCAGCCCTCTAATTATCCCATTACCCATAACATTTGCCAGACACAATTACACAAACCCATATCCCATAATCATCTCATTATTAAACACACAAATTGTGTGTTATGATTAATTTCTACGTGAAGACAAATGTCTTCTGCTCCAATGATTGAAGCCATGAAATAGGCGCTGAATTTGTTGGCCCCGGACGATTTAAAAGATCCAGATGATTGTTGATCATCATTAAGTCTGAAAATTCTATCAATGTGGATCTTGAGGACAAGGTCTAAAAGGAAAATCATATTGAATATATAAACGTGGATCTGTGATATTTTTCTTCACTCCTTGCAATTTTCCAGCGATGGAAAGGGAAGGTGAGAAATCAGCGCATGCAATGGGTTCCGGGACCACCATAACTCTCCGGCGTTAAACTCGGTTGAATGCTTCAAGGATTAAAAAATCGCAGCCCATACAGAATCTCTAACACCAAAATTCAGAATTATCGGATTATCAACTCCAGGAGCTACATCAGCACATAGCAAAATAGAGCAGAACAACACAAATGGGTGCACGTGTGTACAGATATAGAGGCAGGAGTTGTAGGTTTCGACAGATCCGACAAAAGGTCCTTCTCCTCTTCGTCGTTATCATACTTGCAAGATGTACAAGCGTCGTTATCATACTTGCAAGATGTACGAGCAGCGCCACTATTTTTGTTCGCCGCGTTCGGCAGCATCGTTGAGGCGTCCGAAGACGCAGAATGCAGGTGCGGGCTAAGGAATGTGGCGGTGGCCTTGTTCGTGTGGAAGGATTTTCCAAACGCCTTATTAACGTTCGTACCACAACAATCAAGTTATCACGCAGTGTGGCGTCTCCATCATATCAAATTTGTCTCTTCTCTTTGTGGACTGAGATATTAGACGGGGAGTATTGCAGACTCTTTTGGGTTCTAAGAAACAGAAAACTGACACCATAAACATTACAGAAGATAATTACGAGTAGCTGAAGGAGAAAATAGACAAAGCAGGGAAACCAACAACCGAGATCGCATTTTCCATGGCGAAAATATTGATAGAGCTAATCTGAAATTGATTTTGAAATCGAATGCAAAGGGATCCAGATTCCCGAGGAATTATGGGGTGGAGAAACGTGGTTCGTTAACAGCCTCCATCATCATCATCATTATCATTATTATTATTATTATTATTATTATTATTATTATTATTATTGGTTCGCCCGGGTGGCGTTATGAGGTCCGACCTCACCTAGGCAAAGTAATCAATATATCCATGGTCATGGTTCGTCGTGCGCCCGGCCCTGACCTTGGCATTTCCTAATAGTGGTACAGGGTCCGTCCTCACTCACTATTGGATGGAAGAGCCTATTATTGGCCTATTTCATGCATGTTGGTCCGATCGACAATTTGTTTTATTATAATAAAATAATTGTTCGATTGCAAAATTAACCCAAGTTCGGTAAATTTTACCCTTTCGAGGGGGGAGAGGAGCCAGGACCAAGGACTCTGGACCAACGGTCCCCGAATTGAATTCCAATCCGTTCGATTTCGAAAAAGAAAAAAGAAAGCTTGCTCGCTCAATACCCTAAGGGGGCACGAGGTCCGACCTCGCGTACCAACCCCGACGGAAGAGCTCGGTAGCTTAGTTCGGCAAGACTCGGCCCAAGCGGCTTGCGCACCCTAAGGGGGCACGAGGTCCGACCTCGCGTACCAACCCCGACGGGAGAATCCGATGACTTAGTCCGACAAGACTTGGCTCATGCCGGTAGCGCACCCTAAGGGGGCACGAGGTCCAACCTCGCGTACCAACCCCGACGGAAGAGCTCAGTGGCTTAGTCCGGCAGGACTAGGCCCAAGCGGCTAACGTACCCTAAGGGGGCACGAGGCCCGACCTCGCGTACCAACCCCAACGGAAGAGTTTTTGGACTAAGAGTACCCGTGGCTTAGTCCGGCAGGACCAGGCTCAAGCGGCTAACGTACCCTAAGAGGGCACGAGGTCCGACCTCGCGTACCAACCCCGACGGAGGAGCCCGATGGTTTAGTCCAGGAGGACTAGGCTCATGCGGGTAACATACCCTAAGGGGGCACGAGGTCCGACCTCACGTACCAACCCCGACGGAGGAGCTCGGTGGCTTAGTCCGGCAGGACTCGGCCCAAGCGGCTTGCGCACCCTAAGGGGGCACGAGGTCCGACCTCGCGTACCAACCCCGACGGAAGAGCCCGGTGGCTTAGTCCGGTAGGACTAGGCTCAAGTGGCTAACGTACCCTAAGGGGGCACGAGGTCCGACCTCGCGTACCAACCCCGACGGAGGAGCCCGATGGTTTAGTCCAGGAGGACTAGGCTCATGCGGGTAACATACCCTAAGGGGGCACGAGGTCCGACCTCACGTACCAACCCCGACGGAGGAGCTCGGTGGCTTAGTCCGGCAGGACTCGGCCCAAGCGGCTTGCGCACCCTAAGGGGCACGAGGTCCGACCTCGCGTACCAACCCCGACGGAAGAGCCCGGTGGCTTAGTCCGGTAGGACTAGGCTCAAGTGGCTAACGTACCCTAAGGGGGCACGAGGTCCGACCTCGCGTACCAACCCCGACGGAGGAGCTCGGTGGCTAAGTCCGGTAGGACTCGGCCCAAGCGGCTTGCGCACCCTAAGGGGGCACGAGGTCCGACCTCGCGTACCAACCCCGACGGGAGAGTCCGATGGCTTAGTCCGGCAGGACTTAGCTCATGCGGATGGCGCACCCTAAGGGGGCACGAGGTCCGACCTCGCGTACCAACCCCGACGGAAGAGCCCGGTGGCTTAGTCCGGTAGGACTAGGCTCATGCGGCTAACGTATCCTAAGGGGGCACGAGGTCCGACCTCGCGTACCAACCCCGACGGAGGAGCCCGGTGGCTTAGTCTAGGAGGACTAGGCTCAAGCGGTTAACATAAGGCATTGTGCTAAAAAAAAAAAATAATAAAAAAAATTGAATCAATATGGGAGAGCTGATTGTCCATTCAAAACGCCAAGTCAATACAATGTGCCCACCTCCCGGAGGCAAGAGCATAGAGTATGCCCACCTCCCGAAGGCAAGAGCATAAGGTGTGCCCACCTCCCGGAAGTAAGAGCATAAGGTGTGCCCACCTCCCAGAAGCAAGAGCATAGAGTATGCCCACCTCCCGGAGGCAAGAGCGTAAGGTGTGCCCACCTCCCGGAAGCAAGAGCATAAGATGTGCCCACCTCCGGGAGGGGAAGCATGCTTATCGAAGCAAGGTACAAAAGGACACACCTCCCGGAGGGGGCCATAAAATATGCCCACCTCCCAGAGGGGAGTCATAAAATGTGCCCAACTACCGGAGGGGAGACATAAAATGTGCCCGCCTTGGGCCGAGTCCAGCCACGGGTGGGGTCGGTACACCCGAGCCCACCACCATGGACTCGGCCACTGACGGGCCGGTCCATGGTGGACTCGGCTAGGCCGAGCTCGGCAGCTCGGCCGTGCCGAGTCGGCCCGCCTTGGACCCGGTCCCGGGGGGACCCGGTCAAAGCGGGCCGATCCAACTAACCCCGATCCTAGGGGTGCGGTTGGGGAGTTTTGAGCTGATATAAAAGGACTCCCTCTTGTCCTAACAAGGGGACTGATCACTACCTGATTATTACACAACAGATTCCTAAATTGCTATCTTCTAGCATTATTGTCCTATTAAGTCTTGTAATAGCTTATTAGCGGCAATCAATACAAATATACGGTCCCCAGCGACCTACGGTCCCCGCGACCTTATTATATCTCTGTGTCACATTATTTATTCCGTACGTATACTTATCCGGGTTTAATAATTCGGGATACCCCCGGGGAATTAAATCCATCATATAGTTTTGTGTTTTTAATGTATTAAAAAATTCATATATTTATATAAAATTCTAAATATATGAATTTTAGAATTTTAGAAAGGTACCCGGGTTGGACTTCCATTAGGAAGGTTGTGAGTTCAAGCCTCAGTGGAGGCGTTATTAGCTCTTTGTGTTTCAGTAGGTTGAGAAAGTATATGAACAGATACTACAATGTAATAGAGCTAGTAGCATTCAAAAAAAAATATAAAATTCTAAATTTTTATGATATATTTCTACCCATAGTAGTTTTTCTGGTATAATAGCAAAGAAAATAGTATAGCATGTAATAAAGAGATGAAGAGAAAATTCAAAAATTCATGTTTCCATACTAATTCCGAAGAGAGAGATGATAAGAGATAGAGTTTGTGGATTCTTCTATAATATATTGAGTTTTTGGTCGAAAGAGGAAAAAAATTCGCGTGGAGCAAACTCCCGACCAATTGATGTGTGCCTCTACACACATTGGCTAGGCACGTCGAAGTTTTTTGTTTTTGTTTTCATTATTTTTTTTTTATTGTTTTCTATTTTTATTTTTTTTAGAATTTTCACATGCCTAAATAAAAGAACTTGTAATCATTATTAGGATTGCTTTTATACATGAAATGACATACCAACTCTTTATATTAATAGAGAGATATGCATGCATATAGTCTAAGTAGCTATAGTCATGGAAAAATTAATGATCGAAAGGACCAGACAATAGTTTAAGATTGTGGGGATTATATTATATTCCCTATTACTTTTTAAGAATAAGAAATCACAAGTCACATGGTAGGTGGATTCTTGATTTCCAAGTAAAATTAAAGACTATAAATAAATAAAGCATTTTTGTCATTTATGCTTAATTTTTCTTTGCTTCTTGCACTTTATTCTAATCCTCAATACACAATTAAAATGTTTTATAGAAAACAACATGTGTTTGGTTAGGTTAACATGTCTCACTTGCATGCCTGCAACTTTAATTGTTGCATGCACTCATCTTTGTTCTGTACTATGTATATGTGTACATACCCACTCTAACTATGGCTTTAGTTAGGGATGGAAATAGATCGAGTCGAGCTGAGCTTTCAGGGGGTGTATTCAATTATAACTTTCATAAACTTTTTAAAAAATTTATGAACTTTAAAAGTTTGGAGGTATTCAATTCAAACTTTTAGGGAGTAAGTCAGTTAGTATTCAATTAAGATTTTTAAAGAGTCTTTAAAAGTCGGGTGGTATTAGATTAAGACTATTAAAGAGTCTTAAAAAAGTAATGTGGTATTCAAAAAGTTGTGAATTTGTGTAAACTTTTTAATTTTGGAATTTTTGTAGACTTTTTCTTCTCAAATCGAACCATCAACCTCAATATTTCAAAATTTTCTTTCTACCAACTCGAAATGTTTTCTCTCTCTATTTAAACTCTAATTTTTCTCCCTATTTAAACTTTATAAACCTTATACCTAAATTCAATACAAAAAAATTCATCATTATCATATATTTTCTTCATACCTAAACTCTACCAATTTTTTCTCTCTTCTAAAATTTACAATCTTCGTCTAAAAATTCGAGATAATATTATTTTTGAGAAAATTACACTTTTGGTCCTGTGACTATTGAGGTCTTATTAATTTCAGTACTCGACTTTAAAAACTAACAATTTAGTCCCGTAACTATGCAACTTTTAACACATTTGGTCCACCCAGCCAAATCACCGGCCAAATGTCGCCAGAAAATTGTAAAATCATTTTAATTTGTTTAATTAAGGGGTAAATTGGTCATTTCATATCACTTCCTTCTTCTTCCTGGCAGAGACTGGCGGGCAATGATTACTCCAGGCCATCTCGCCGCCTAATTCTTCCTCGGGACGCCATAACTGAGCGGCTAGAAAACCTAAGAGCGAGCGCGGCAGAGACGGCGAAGGAAACGTCAAAAGATGCGAGCGAGAAAGCGAAGGGCATCAAAACATATGCGTCAAGAAAGAAATTTCCGGTCGGCGGACAGAGCATTTGAAACCGAGGAAGAATCAGACGGCGGCGTGGCTCGGAGGACAGCTGTTCTCCACCATGGTGGTGCGGAAACGGGCGTGGAGTACGAGGAACAAGACAACTACGTTTAAGGTTTTGGGTAGTTGCTCCCGGAATGATCTTCACCGGCATGGGAGTCATAGAAATTTTGACGGAGCTCCAAGAATGGTGATCAATTACTAACATTTATGAAATTATTGAATTTAAAATAAACAAAAACACTAATTCTAATTCTGGAAGTCGCTGCCGATGGACCCTTTTTTTCAAGACTACCTCTAGGAGGCATAGGAAGAGGAGGAAATGAGGAATCTTCCAGTGGGGCATTTGTTGAATTCAATTCTGTGCTAAGGCTTGATGGTATCTTGATGTCAATACAAAATCTGTACTAGTTGACAAATCTATTGGCAGAACAAGTGGGTCAAAATGGGTCAAAATCACTTGTTTAAGTTGTTTCGCTTGATCGGGTACATAATCGCCATAATGTTTCTGCTTGATTGTATGCTACCCTTCAGTTCAGAGCGAAAGGTGTGTTTCTTCGCCCGCCATTTTTGTAGGTGTCCGAGCATTCAGTTCAGAAACAGATGCAAGGAAGAAAAAGAAATGACGTAAAATGATCATTTTGCCCTCATGAATAAATAATTGAAAAAAGTTTATGTTTTTCCGGCGACATTTGACCGATGATTTGGCCGGGTGGACCAAATTTCTTAAAAATTGCATAGTTACGAGACTAAAGTGTTAGTTTTTAAAGTCAAGTGCTCAACTTAACAAGACCCTAATAGTCACAGGATCAAAAGTGTAATTTTCTCTTAAAACTTCATTATTGCTTGTATATTTTGATTTTTTAATTTTTTTTTCTTCAAACTTTTTATCCTTAACTTCTAAACTTTCTCTACGAACTTTTCTCCCTAACTTCTATTGGTCCCAGTAGGGTTAGGGAGTGAGTCTAGAGGGGGGGGGGGGGGGGGGGGAGAGGGAAAGAGAGAGAGAGAGATTTTTTATAGATACACCAAATCGGGCACCCAGCCTAGAGAGTAGAAAAGCAGTCAGGCTCGAGCATGGCACAACACTAGGCAAATCGAGGGAAAAAGCTACATCCAGTATCGTCGCTTGTCATGCGAAGCACCCGGGAGACCAGGCTAGCAGATGAGCGCGTACCCAGACAGGAGATGGCTGGCTCAGGCATAGTGACCAGGACCGATAGTCGGCGTGTCCCCGACTAGGTTCCTTTCAGGATTCGAATGGGTGACCAGGCTCTGTAGTAGGCGTGTCCCTGACTGGGTTCCTCTTGGGACCCGGAAGGGCGACCAGACTCGGTAGTCCCCTCGAGAGGGCCTGGACGGGCGACCAGGCTCAGCGACTGCAACGTCCTTGCCCGAGTGTCTCAGCCTCCCTATTCGGGTTACCTCACTCGACGGCCGGTGCGTCCCCGACCGAGTGCGCACCCAGGAGCGGCTAGCGACAGATTTAGCGGAGATCCCTTTCCTTGTCTAAATAACTTTCTTTTCCAGCTTTGGCAGCTGTTAGAATTAATTATGGTAGATTTCATAGCCGATTTGGCTCTACCTTTTGACCTACTTTCCTTGTAGAAAACTAGTTCTCTTGTATAAATACTCCCACGGGGTCATCGTGTAAAAGTTTAAAACTCTCTTGGAATAACACCGCATTATTCTCTCTTAACTACACCTAGTTCAGTCACAAAACCTAAGTGTTTACGGCAGTGTTGGCCAGCCGAACGGTTACCCATAAGCCGTAAAACTAACATTGGTGTCGTCTGTGAGAATCGAAACTAGAAGTCCCCGTCTCTAAGCTTTGCTAATGGCTCGTACACGACGTAGCAGTCGAAACGCCGGTCAAAATGCTATCGCCCCGGCAGTTAATAGGCATGTCACTGTCATCGCGAACACGGAGGCAACCTGGTAGTAGTCGTGTCTCCGTAAGAGATATGAGAGAATAGCTGATCCATCGCACTCCTGGTGAACGGTTGGTCGCATGTACCGAGCATGTTGTCGCACCGATCCACGAAGCACCGAGGGGCGACCCTCCGTTGCCGGTCGCTCAGGCCCAACCAACTCTGGCGGATTTGTTGGCACATGCATTTGATGCATATGCGCATGAAGGGGGCCAAGTGCCCCACGCCGTCCATTCTTGACCTGCGTAGTTGGTTCTTGATGTTCGCTCTTTTGGATTAGCTCAATTGTCTTAAGATAGTTTAATTGTGTTGGGATGAACCCCGGATTTTGTCGTTCTCAAGGGATGGCCGCTCGGAGTTACCCCTAAGTTGCTAATTTTGGAAAGTAAAGACATCGATGATGTTTGCAAGCATGTCACGCACACACAATTGAATAACGTCATAGTGAATTAACAAAATGAATGCTAACAAATAATGAACAAAATGATAAACAAGTAGTGTTGAATTGCTTAGTGTGGATGAAGATGCTTAGGAGATCATTTGACATAGGGAAAGAGGATGTCATTGCTAAGTCTAGGGAGTGGTTTATGTCCTTTCGTAACTTAGACTACTAGGACTTTACTTAGATTTTCACCTAAGCCTTTCCTCGAATACCTTGCCTTCAACTCCTTCCTAACCAAGCCCCATAGGGTTCCTTGAGCTAGGAAATGCTAAGGATAGGAGCTTGGGTTGACCTAGCATAGGTCAATCCCTCAACACCATAGGAGGTGATCAAGTTCCTAGGATCCATACAAGAAAACCTCAACATCAAGACATAGAAGCAATGTTATCAATCAATCCCTAATTTGAGAACTAAGTCATAGAAGCATCATCAACACACACTTTCACAATCCAAACCCTAACTAGACTAGCCTATAATAGACATGGAAATCATAAGAGCATTCATAGATCTAACCCTAGCAAAGAAAATAGAATAGAAAAGAGTTTAAATTATACCCAAAATGTAGATTAGGAAAATGAAATCAAGTCTTGCAAGATCTCTTGAAATGGAGTTTGTCAAGCTCTTCTTTCAATCAATCTCTCAAGAACTAAGCTTGAATCATCAAATATACCCTACAAAAGTGTTTTCTCTCTAATTCTAAATGCTAAGCTATCAAATTCTCTATCTAAAATTGGTGTCTCCCTTACAAAACTGATCTAAAACACTTTAAATAGCCTCACTTTTCATTTCCTTTCGCAGCCCCATCAACGCAACCTCCAATGCCTGGACAATGTGCGTTGTCCGGGAACTTACTCCGGCCAACGTGCGTCACAACGCACGTTGTGCTAGGCGTGAAGTTTCTGGAAATCAGCCAAGTTTGCGTCTCGCCACAACATGTGCTGCAACGCACGTTGTGGACTCGTTGCTAGGTCCCGACTTGTCTTCTTATCCCGCTTTCATTCCGGTTGTGCCACTTTGCCTCGTTTAAGCCCGAAACTTACCTAAAAACCTGTAAAACATAAAGTGCGGTGCTAATTTCCAATATAATGCAAATCATAGCTAATTGGCACAATATTGCTACACAAATGATTTCTTTTAGCCTAGAATTCACCCTAAATGGACCTTAAAAGTGTGCGTCTTTGACACTTATCACAAGTTTCCACACTTTAGCCTTGCTTGACCTCAAGCAAGTTTCAATCAAACTAATAATCACATAAGTGTCAAAGATACACCTAACCTTACTCAATGTTAACTTAATTCATCCAAAGGTCAATCAAGATAAGTGTCATGCCAACGGATTGGGTGAAGTCCCCCACATTATGTAATAAATATGCTAGTCATGCACCCCTACTAAACTACTCAAGGAATATACTAAGGAAGCCTTAAATTTTAATCAAAAGAAGGTTACACTCTCACACCATTCACCAAGCATGCAATCCAAATTGGTATTCACCACTCATCTTGCAAAGGCCTATAGCCAAGCCACACTAGTGGGAACAATGTGTACAAACCAACCGACTCCATCCTTATACCGCCAAGGTCTTTTACAAGAAATTAAATTAATGGTTTGGCATGGGGCACTCACCAACCTTAAGCCAAGGTCCGATTTCCTTCGGCACGAAACTCCGTGTTTTAACTCCGGGGAAACTTTTTGTGGTCCCGACTTAAGCGTTGGTTCTCACATACTTCCACCCCTTATGCCAAGGATCGACTTCCCGCAGCATAGATCTCTATGTTTTTATCCGAGGAAGTCTTTCATGATCCCGACATAAGCAATGGCTCCCTCTTTTTGCTCTCTTTTTTCTCATCTCCTAAGACATCACCATGGGACAACCGACTTCACGTAGAGCTCTACACTTTTTTGAAGACAGTGCAATGGAATTGCCCCAAATCCTAGCGAGATGGCTTACCTCTTTTTTTTTATCTCACGGGACGGTCATTTATTTTAGGTATTTTGCCTTTTCCTCATCGCCATTCCCTCCTTCTACACTCATGTTTTTTTCTTTTTGGGATAAGGGAATTTTTCTCACTTCTCACCTCAAAGCTTCACCTTTTGCCCCATACTTTGCCAAATTAGATTCATTCCCGACCTTGCTTCTCTTATCTTTCTAAGATTCGAAAGTACACACTCCCACTTCGAGAGATCGTTTACTAAGGTCTAAGCAAGATAGGAGGTGAATTCATACAAGCATGCATCAAATGTAAACCTAAATGACTTATCTATGCAATTCTTCACTTGGCTGTAGAGGGGCTATAGCTTCCAAAGGATATTTCAAAAGTAAAAGTTTCGGACGGGAACATCACTATCACATTTACCACATAATATGAACAACAACGCACACTCCAAATCTAACACACTCGTCAATCAAGCACCAACGAATCAATTAAGTAACATGAGACATTTAAGCACAAGGTGCTTCCCTTTCCACACTTTAAACCGAACATCACCCTCGATGTTCTTTAAACTGAAGGTGGACAAGGAAAATTAATGTCACAACAAAAGTGTTTGTCCCTTTCCACACTTTAGGATTTTTACGGGACTCGGGTGAATTTGAAAACTAATCCCTTGCAATAAAATAAAGCCAATTAAGCATATGCACAATAACAAGATTTCCACACTTTAGAATTACAACATAGGGCCTATCAAGTTAAGGGATAGAAATTTGTCACCAATTGTAATGCATATCCCTTTAATATGGAAATCATTCGCCTTTGCCCTTTAAAAAGAAAGCTTCATGAAAAAATTGGTTAGTGGCAGTGGATCTTCAAAAATAAGACTGATGAAGCAGGGAACGTTGCTCGAAACAAAGCCATGCTAGTTGCTCAGGGATACACTCAGATAGAAGGAATTGATTACGATGAAACTTTTCCTCCTGTTGCTAGGCTGGAATCAACCAGAATTCTATTGACTATTGCATGCATTCTGGGTTTCACACTGTTTTAGATGGCACGGTACATCGGCATCGTGAGCTCGATCGTTTAACTTCACGATCGCAATCAAAGTTGGAAAACAAACTCGCGAAGACATCGGATCTACTCCCTTATGTTGACGACTCTCGCAACACAAGGAGTGGGGGGGGGGGGGCTGGTGATAGGATTGTAGGGCAACTCCCTCGACATACGGAGCTCGTCTACTAAAGTACTTCCCGAGCAAAGTGACCTTCCCGGCCTTGTTATCGTTAGACCTTCGGGTCCTCTAGCGCCCCGAGCACTTCCCGAGCAAAGTGACATTCTCGGTCCCGTTATCGTTAGACCTTCAGGTCTCCTAGCGCCTAGCGCTTTCCGGTCAAAGCGACCTTCCCGATCTCGTTATCGTTAGACCTTCGGGCCCTCTATCGCTTC